ACCTTCCATTCTCAAGCACCGACAACGACACTCACACCAGCATCCACACCCACCCACACCCACACCCCGCACCCACCCACACCCACACCCTTTTTTGTATTCTGTCCAATGCGATTGATAGTATGGTGCTACTCTTTCATATTAGATGGTGGAATTTACAATTTAACAGGCAATGATATAAAAAATAACGTTAAAGCTGAATGTGAAAATCATGATAAACGGATAAAAACTTTCGAGATTTGAATAGTGCCATTTTTGATAATACTAGTTGAAATGATGGCTACAAGTGGTCAAATATACTCACTATCTTGAGTGTGGATGAAAAAGACACCCCACCCTGAGAATAAGAGAGAATTTTTTCTTTTATTAGAATCCAAGAAAAGCTTTTTTTCGACAAAATTTCATCATTTTTTTCAGTTTCAGTGTACTTGAAAAAATTTTTCAAAACAAAATTATCAAATGAAGAAAGACAAATTTCATTTTCATCACAATAATTTTAAATACCAATACAAGTGATGATATTATTCTTATAGGAAAGAAAACTTAGAATTCTCAGATAAGAAAATGAGCATGAATTTGTAAAGACCACCATCTTTAAACATTTCCAGACAGCAAAGGATGATATGCATTCTTTACTGTTAAAACTGGAATGCTTACATTTCTAGTACATATCTATATGGTTACTATGGCTTCATTCACAATCACTCTATAGCATTCAAATCACCTGTTACAAGCAGTATCTTTTCGATCTTACTGATACTTTTCACATTTCCAATATATGCATTCCTTTATTCGATCTCTCTTTTGTTTTTGCATTTATGTCATTTTTCTTTTAATTATCAATTTTAAAGAAAAAGAATGTGTGTGTCGTCTATGTTCATATTATCGTAACAATGCCCGACAGGTATGCTTTTTATGAGGTCAGTTACCATATTCATGCAGGAGTTATACATGAAAATATGAAATCATTTATTTATCGTATTTGTTCAATCTAGTTATTGTTTGAAATCCTTCAAATGGTTGACTCTTACTCGAGATAGAGGCTTTTTGCTAAATGTGCTTCAGATAAATCATATAACAAGGGAAAAGTTATTGCTTTGTTACTGGTTTAATCTTTTGTAAATGGAATGCAGAATTGACTTTTCGTTATCAAAGTTTAATTGAAAACTTTCAATAACTATAATAACAGTCTTTAATGAATACTTTTAATAAGATGTTTCCAAATGAAATTTATTCCATATTCGAATCTTATTGATATGTGCACAAAAACATAGACAAATAGATTTTCTTCAGTTTCTATTTCCGTCATAGTTGATAGCGCAATAGTTCGAGTGCGTTGATATTTAACTAATGTATGTGAAATCATTTTTATTGATGATTGATATTCACTAACAATTCTGCTCAACAATAATGACTAATCTCGAAAAGCAACCTCTCTGTGTAACATCATTCAAATAGCAGTTTCTTCATAGAACTAATTATGGAGTTTTATTTTCAACTTATCTAACAGCTTGTTAATTTGAGCATTAATAGTAGAAAGTTCGTTACAAGCGAACAGTAGCATTTTATCCTAGAGAACTAAGTCGAATTTAAAAGTTATTTAAACTATATTTCGTCATTTCTATTGATAGAAATATTTCGTGAGTAGTTGTCTAAGTAATATACCATAGATCAGCAATTTGTGTTTTAATAGATAATATATGAAAGACAACAGTGAAACGACTTGTCTAGCAGATGAAGTAATAATCGAATAAATACAACGTTTTTTTTTAATATCTAAGCAATCATTGATTTATAATTGGATACAAATAAAATCATTGAGAATCTATTCCAGATGATGATCAACGGACGTAGATACTTTGTTTTATTGAATATGTTGTTTTTTCATAAAACAAATATATATGTGTACATTTTCTATTTAGAAATAAAAGCACTGGAAGCGAAGCTCACGAATGAACAACTTGAATATTTAAATCAATGTGAGTATATTTGTTAAATTGCAATTTTATTTCATATTGAAATAAAATTAGATTATGCGGTTAATAAAAAGCCTCGACCTGATGAACTTCAATTAATATGCAAAGAATGAAACATTAATAGTTTTTATCTTTTTCTCGATTTAGAAGTAAATTTTTCTTATTTCTAATTCATAATTGTATATATTATTAATATTTAGGATTGGTTTTTTGGTCGTGGGATGGCTGAAAGAGAAATCGAAGAGCGGCGAATTATCACACGGAAAGTTGCTGCTTAGTTGTGATGTGACTTTAATCAGTTAATATTTTTGGTTTTGATTTTTCATCTATCACTGAATAAATTTTCTTTTGTATGTTATTTATGGTTAATAAAATCACAGTTGATATTCTGTGATTTAATCGTTATTGTACTTGTTTGAAAAGTTTATTTCACAATAGCAAACAAGTTTCCAACTTGAATACTTTTAAATATACGAATAAAAACGATCAGATTTTAATTGATATGATAAACTTCTCTTCATTTTTAAACATGATTATACACAAGCTCATGAAAAGAATGCCACAAGAATTCTATAGCTAAAAAATCAAAATAAAATGAAATTTTTGCTACTAATTCAAAATAATGGTTTAAATATATTTCAACATTCCATCGATATGTATACGAGAGAAAAATAGCTGCAGTCCATATTTTAATTAAATCATGCCGATAAAAACATAATTTCAAAAAGTAATAACATCTGAAAGTGGTTGTAGTTTTTCCATTTCTCCGCACAGTTGTGTTTTACTGTGTACTAATATAATACGAAAAAGAAACAAGAACATCTTCAGATAAGTCTGTAAATCTGACATCCCTTCAGATATCATTCCAATGGTTTTAAAAACAAAAGGCAATAGACTTTTACGTGTCTCTATGATTTTTTTTCTTGAATTTTGTTTTCCAATGTGGTTGATACGGAGGTATTCTGTTTAAGAAGTGGTCGCTTTTGAAGGGTATTCTCTCGACATATCATATCTATCCTATCAGTAATGAAACTCGCACTTCACTTGATTATTTCCTTAACTGTCATATATCAAAAGATGTAGTTAATATTCCTCTACAAAATGACTTATGCAATGATGAATAAGCAGGAGAGAGAAAAAAAAAGAAATGTTTATTTTCTTCGTTCGTCATTTCCAACGCGTTTAATTTAGTGAACACATCGCCATTGTGGTAGCTCGGGTGAAAATTTAATTTCTCCATTAAATATCAATTCAACAATGAATGCAAATTATTTTCGTTCATATCTAAAGGTCGATGAGTATTTGAAAAAAAAAGAATTTAAAAAGTGTGAAAAGGTAAACATTATTTTGAATCATTAAAACTATTACTTGTTTCTTCTTAAAGCTTTTGTCAAATTTAATCAGTAAAAATCCGAATGTAACACCTACTGACAAAATTGCTATGATCCACTTATTGAAGAAAAGAGTTTTGGTTTATAATCGTTTAGGAAAACACAGACGTGAGTATCTAATTTTAAAATATATTGAATGAATCAGAAAAGTTGTTTAGTTGCTTTGGACGATATTCAATCACTTATCGCACAAAATGTACAAATCGACGGTAGCGATGATATATTTTATATGCATCAGTAAGTGATTCTATAATTATTTTTATTCATCGACGTGAGATATTTATTTTGTAGAGAAGCGATTTTCAATTGTGCTCTCGATGAAGTTTCGAAAAATTTAGAAAAAAATTTATGTCCATGTAAGTCATACTTTGATTTTACCATTGCAGTATTATTGTTATTTCTTTATTCCAGTAAATGAGACGTTTTTTGATTCAATTATACAATTTTTCAATTCTATAAAATCAAAAGATGTCTTTAACAAGTAGTTTAATTGTAAATCTGAGTTGCATAACAATTTATTGTTTATTTTTTTTGTAGAAAAGCATTTGATGCGAAAAACCAAAACAACTGCAACCAGACAAAAATTATATTGAACAATTAATTAATACATAGTCAAATAGAACATCTTTTTGTTTTTGTCTTTTCTCATATGTGCACGTTGTACATAGTAAATGCATGTGTACCTTAACCGATGTTTTTTTTATTATATTTAATACTTGTAGCCAATTCTCATTGTCTGTTTTGCTAAAATTATAATAAATAACAAAAGAAAAGAAATACACATAAGTTTATTAATTAAATTCATAAAAGCTGAACAAAATGAAAAGTTCCTATTTGATATTGTATAGATGCTCTTGATTTATTTGTTCAATCTACTTATGGTACTGATGTATAAGCCGATATAAGTGATAAAACAAAGAAAAAGAAACAATAGAGAAACTATTGCAATCGATGATCCTGACTGTATGATTTTTCATTCATTAGAATTCTTTTTCAAAAATATTATTTCTTTTTCAGCATTTAATACAATTGTTCGTATATATCTTACACAATTATTACTAGCAATCTATTGAATTCTTCATATAAAACTTGTTATAACAAGTACATTAAAACCAGAAACAAGTTCAAACTAAAAATATACTGAAAATATGGAAATGTCTGCAGCATTTTGCACAAATTTGTCTTTCTTTTCGATATTATTTTATACTCTTTTTTTTTCTTGATAAATTTAGCTCATATCGATGATTAATGTTTCAAGTAATATTCTTCTTTGACATGTTCGTTCTCATTCTATTTGGGTGGGTGTGGGGGGGGATGGGGGTGTTGATTTCTTCTCTTCTCACACCCACACCCTCTATCGAAGAATTTAAGAATTTGCAATCAATTTCAAAGCATTTTGAAAATAATATATCATCAAAATTTTGTTTCTGAAAGAGTTCACGTTTTTATTCTACGGTTTTGTTTTACAATGCAACAACAAATGAATTATTATTTGGACGAAAGAAGGTGTTGATTGAAGCGAGATTGACTGCGATCCATTCGATGTCTGCATTGATTCTGTCGATCAATAATTGAAAATACTGACGATATACAGTACCTGAATATAGAAACATAAATTTCCTGTGGGATGATACTATAAAATGAAATGTTTACCTTCATTAGTGATCGAACTAGCAAACGCTTTTAATTCATCTCGTTTTCGAACAGTAATAAATTGACTCGATACGGCTTCAATAATTCTGCTTAAACGTCCGAGTGATGCTCCCCGTTTTGACAAAAGTTTCGACCAGTTGTCGCGAATCCAGTTCCATACAACTTGATTAGCTCGCGGTGAACGAGCAATATTTGTAATGGATTGTATCACATATTGATCGCGAATGATTGAATCATTCTTCAAATGTTGTTCAAGAAAATAAACAATTAATGGTGGATCTTCTGTGCAAGCGAGTCCTTCGAGTAGATTCATTACTTCATTAGCAATCGATTCGTTTTGAAGACGAGTCCATAAAAAGTTAAAATCAGATCGTGAACCTACTCTAATAATTGTACAATAGACAGGCGAACGAAGATTAGCCGGGATTTGATTAAGAGTAGGATTCAATTTCCATTTACGATAAATGCTTTGTGCTGCTTCAATACATTCTTGATAGCGATAACGACAGACAGTCGATAGGATACTTGGTTGCAATAGAGCTTGAAGCCAATCGGTCAATTGATTGACAGGAGTCCATCCTATTTTGTTGTAGATTGGAAGAATCAATTCAAGAAAGTAGTTTTGTAGATCAAGAATAATATCTTGTTCGGCAAGTAATACTTCTTGTTGATTCATTGCTGAAAGTGCTACCGTCCATGGAACAAAATCAGTTTCGTTCTTTAGATATCGAATCAATGTGTATGGATCAGATGCATTAATTAAGGATGCTCGCGACAGAGCAAAGACATCATCGATAAGAGCACCTCGAGTAATTGTTGGAATGCATGTATGATCCATCTCAAGTTGGGCCATAATTAGATAGAAATTTTGAGGATCATACTTCGTGCGATAGATACCTAGATAGTCCGGATTGGCCAAAATCCAGTCTGAATCCGATGCGGTAATTGTCAGCGTCTTTGATGTATCATTAAGCCATATAATTTCACTTGCATTCGATGACTGTAAACAGAAAAAATTCAGTCAAGTGCAAAAGTAATATGAAACGAATATTCTTTTTTTTTTTACCTGATTGAAAGTTCGATCAAAATATTTGAATGGAATCCACCATTTTTCTGATTTGGTCGTCGTTGATAAAAGACTGAAAGGCTGTTGACTAATCACCATATGACCGCCTACCATTGGTTGTTCAGTCCTACTATAATTTCGATTAACTTCTACAAATGGAAAGCCTGATTGTCGTGTCCATCCAGTCATGATCCGTTCAATGTCGATTGTATGATTTGCAGCTTGATCTAAGTACTTCCATAGATCCTCTTGAATTGCCGAACTATAACTCAATCCTTTCAAATACATTTGAATACCTTGTTGAAGAGTTTTATCTCCCAAAAACATTGACATCATACGGGCGAGTGTCGCACCCTTGTAATAAGTAATTAAATCATACAATTGAGAGATGTCGGTCAGATTAGTTGCTTCGATACTAATCGGTCGTGATGTTGGCAATGAATCGGGCTTTATAAATTGGAAGATTTTTTCTATAAAAAATTGCTCCTCTAGCCTCCACGAAGGTTGAACAAAGCTGGATGCTAGTGTTTCCATATAACTAGCAATACCTTCTTTCAGCCACCTATGCGCAAAGAATTCAATGAGAAACAAAAGAAAGTAAGACTCACAGTTCACTCCACCAAGCAGGTGTAACTAAATCTCCAAACCATTGATGAGCTATTTCATGGGCTATCAATTCTGTTATGTATTGTTGTCTTGAACTCGATACTGTTTTCTCATCGAAAACCAAACCTAATTCATCATAGATCAATAAACCTAGAAAGAAATCAGTTCAATTATCGATTCAATTTCATTTCATCGTCTATTTTGACCGGAAAAAACTGTATTTACCATAGTTTTCCATGGCTTCTCCAGAAAAATCCGGAACAGCAAAATGTTCAATCTTTGGCAAGGGATAATCAATGTCAAAGTATGTATTGAAAAATTCCAATATTCTGTATGCTACTTCATCGGCATAGGTTAATTGTGGCAGAATATCAATACGTCCACATACTCGTGATTTGATATTTTTTGAACTTATGATACGATCTGGGAGACAAGCAAAATCGGATCTTGGTGCTACGATGAGTGCTAGTAGATATGTGGACATTTTTAATGTCGGAGTGAAATGTGAAAGAGTTCGTCTATCGTCAAGCGATTCGGTTCTTTGAATTTCTCCGTTGGACCATACAGCATACGAAGGATCATGGACGACACTGATTTTAAAAATAGCCTTACGACCAGGTTCGTCAATACATGGAAGAACACCTCGAGCATTGGTGGCTTCCATGTGTGATGTCATAAACATGCGTCTCTTCCCATTGACATCGGTGTAATGACTCATGTAAAAGCTGTGGTGATCATGAATAATATCACCCGAATAAATAATGCGAAGTGTATAAGTGGTTCCTGATGTAAAGTTGGATGAAAATGTGAGTATCATAAGTTGATTAAAATTATCATAGGACCATGAGAGAAATATTGGCATAGAGCTAGAGGATGAATTGATGATTTTTAAACTTGAATTCTCAATGAGTAAATCTTGCATATGAAGAATCACTTGATCAGTGGGTTTGAGGCAAGTAAAGGTATAAAAAAGATCACCTAAAATGCGAGAAAAGATAGGATTGTTTTGTACCAGTGAACTGGCCCAATTCTATCTTTAAAACTCTCCTTACCTGAAAATTTTTCATTAGTAAAATTGGGTTCAATGGTCAATTCATACAACAATTGTTGTAAACTTTCTGGTATACGTTTGACTGATGGTGAAGAAGTACTAGTAGTTGTTACTTCATTCGATGTCGTTGTTACAATCTGACTAGCAGTAGTGATTGACATCTGATCATTGACATTATTTCGAGTTTTTTGATTAACACCAAAATAGATAGTTAATACCAGTAGAACAATAAAAATGGCAGTAAATAAAAGCAACCCAAACCAAAACAGCTTTTTGGACACGTGATAAATACTTGTTCGCGCAAGTTTTATATTCGAATTGTCGAGAATAAGATTTTGCATCATATGATAAATGGATGCTTTTTTTATATTTAGACTGAATAAAACTATAAAAATCGCATGAAATAATATATGATTATTTTATATAAGGAACATTGTAGCAACTTACGTTTACTCTTACTTTATTTACAGCGCTTCTTTGTATATATGAGATAAATACTTACTATTATCGCTTTCAAAGGTTTTTTCGTTCTCTCCCTTTTAGTTTACTTGCTTCAAAGAGAATGAATGAATTTATTTGCTCTTTTATACATGCACTAAATCTACCTCACTACTGAAAGAGCGCAATTATCGATAAAGTATCCATGTAAAATGAAACCAGAGTAGCATTTATCAGTTGATCAAACTGGATGCACTCGTTTACAATGTATTAATTCATATATTTTTTCACTACACTTGTGATATAAAAAGAATTGATGTAATGTACACAGTGTTTCGAAATTTTATCGATAAAATTTTTGTCAATTTGACTGTGAATCATCTATAGCATTTCAAATAATAATTATTCGATTTATACCGACCACAATTTGCATTTGTGAAAAATAAAAAAATCCGTATAATGGACACCAGATGACATTTCTTGTTGTATGATACATTGTCTCTATCACTTGAGGCTTAGATCTGTGCAATGCAAAAGCTGTTATTGCATCATTCACATACAATCATTTGTCTCCGAATTTTACAACGATATTTGTGCACTTCTATTGACCTACTGCTGCAAATGTATGACTAAAGTGAATGCGATTTTTCGATGATAAGAGAAATGAAAGACTATACAATGTTGGGTGTGGGTGTGGGCGTGGGTGTGGGGTGTGTGAGTGTGAGTGTAGATACTATTTTCACCCACACACACGCCCACACCCACACCCACACACACCCGCACTCACACACCCACACCCACATACCCACACCCTCTCAGTATTGTACGTGAAATGACTATTATTAATAATATAATTTGGTTTCGAATATTACTTATATTACCATTTACTTGGATTCTAACATTTCTTTTGACTTTAATTATATGCAGTCAAATACCTCATAATACTCAATCAAAAGAACAGTTACTTCTTCTATCCATTGAAAGAGTTCAGTTTCAAGCAGTCGTTCATAGTTCTATTATATTTTCTATACATATTATAATTCTTGTTTGTGCTGTATTTATTCTAAATATGGCCATTGCAAGTTCGAACAATTATTTCTCTCTACATAATATCAGTGCGACTGATACATTTGCTAGCATTGCATCGTATTGTTTTCTTCATACAATACTTATCATTTATCTTTTTATTTGTCGATCGGAAGCTTTCGAATGTTATTTTGCCATTATGGTATCTTGGATGTACAATTATACTGATTATCTTCTCTATTATTTTAGTTATTACATATGCAAGTATTCCTGAATATATTGCTTCTGGAATATTTTTTTTCTCTATTGTCTTGGATTTATACCACAATTTTGGACAAAATCAAAACCAATTCGAAATGACATTTATATCACTTCCACTGTAAATAATTCAAATACGAATAAAACTTCAAATTACAATAAAATTTTTTGCCTAGTTCTTTTCTTTTTTTGGGCTATTTTAGTGTTGCCGACAGAGTGAGGATGTGTATGTGAGTATTCCTCAGACACCCACACCCACACCCTGACATGAAAGAACATCGATAACATGGAGAAGTCTTCGAAGTAAGTTCTGGCGAGTATGTTCGGTTTTCTAACACATACATACTAACATCCATAGTCCTACTGTCCGATTGATACTTTAAGGTTCTTTCATTTTTCAGATATATTTCTGGTATATGAAACCAACGATTTTAAAATAAATAGTAACATATTCTAGTGATAATTATTTTTAATTGAGATCTAAATCAGAAAGTAATTAGGACAAAAAAAAAAGAATCCAATGGAAATCAGTTAGGAGTTGATTTTTCATAAAAAATGAAAAGATGATAATCATGCGCTGGTGTTTGTATCAATGGAAAGAATAAGAACAGAAGTTTCTCTTCTAAATCAAATCGGTAATATCCAATGGTAATTCTTCAATTTTTGTATTGTAATATTGTTCAATGTTTTGCAATGTTTGATGTTCATCATTGGTAATGAAATTGATAGCTACGCCTTTTCGACCGAATGCACCACTACGTCCAATACTTAAGCAAAAGAATAAAATTCTTTTCCAATCGAACATTATTAATTCTTACCGATGAACATAGCTCTCACGATTAGTCGGTAGATCATAGTTGATAACAAGACTAACTTGTGGAATATAAGTATCACTTCCAAGTGTATCTGTTCTTACTAAAATTCGACTGACACCTGTTCGAAATTCTTTTATGACATCATTTTGTTGTTTGATATCCATATTAGGATTCTACAATAAAAAGAAGATCAATTTGTATGATTTTACAAATGGTTATTTTAAAACTATCATCGTACTACTGACCAGAGCAGCCACAGTTAAATTACGTGTACGTAGTTTTTCAGTTAACCAATCAATCTTTCGATGTGTGTTACAAAAGATGATCGCTAGTGTGAACGTTAATCCATCGAACAAGTCATATAATGTTTCTAATTTCCAGTCCTGTATAAAAGTAATTCTACATCAGTTCAAGAGCATAGAATAACAAATATGTCTCTCTACCTCACGTTCAACATTTACGTAAAATTGACGAATACCGTCGAGTGTTCGTTCTTCTGTCTTGATAAAAACTTTGACAGGATCATTCATAAATTTAGTTGTGATATCGAGTAAATCACATGGCATCGTAACCGATAGAACAATGACCTGAATATTTCCTGGCAACATCGTAAATATATCATAAATTTGTTCGTTGAAACCATGAGATAAAAGCTCATCAGCTTCATCTAATACGAACATTTTAATATTTTCAGCACCTACGATGTGAATGACGTTAAAAATGTGACACATATAAGATATAAATCACCTACGGAGTGCTGATCTCTTTAACATATCATAGATCCGACCAGGTGTACCAACGACAACTTGGACACCTGCTTGAAGGATTTTGATATCTTCATGAATATTCGTATTACCAATACAAGCATGAGATGTCACATTCATATGTTTACCTAGTGTTAAAACTACTCTATGTATCTAAATTACAAATAGAATCAAGAATTCGATGATAAATAATCAAAGAAAACTATACCGCCTGAGCTAGTTCACGCGTTGGTACCAGAATTAATGTTTGACAATTTTTGCAGTCCATGTTGAGTTGTTGTAAGACTGCAATAATGGAGGTTATTGTTTTACCTGTGCCTGATTGTGCTTGTACAATCACATCGTAACCTTTAAGAAAAATAAATATTTACTGAACTGGTATCAGTTCTAGAGAAATGGCAGAGAACAAACCTGAAATGCACGATTTAAGAGCACGTTGTTGAACATTTGCAGGATGTTCGATACCATAGCCATATATATCACGTAAAAGTGGTTCTCGTAAATTCAACTGATCGAATTTCTCGACCATTTCTGTCAAATGACTTAAGGTGGGTTCGTCTCGTAGTAAAGATAGTTTGATTTCATTATGTTCCTGCGAATCGATGACTGTGTTCGCACTTTGATGAGTGTCATTTCTTAAAAAATTTATTAACGATTCAATTCGTGAAATCTCTCCAAAATCAATCTGCTCTTGAAGTGGCTATAATGACTTTGCAATTATTAGTATTTCTTTGTTCTGAGGAAAAGCTATTTCTCTTTTCTTTTCTTATGAAATTCTCAAATATAGCACACAGAAAGTTTCTTTCTCTGCTATCAAATAAGGTAAAAATATGCAAGTAACATTGATGCGAGAAACAATACATACTCAGGAGATGTGGTATCACAGTTGTTTGCTTTAGTTTCTGTTTGACAATCGCTCATAAATGAAGATAAAAAAATAATGTATTTGAAACACAATTGATCTACAAAGAATCAAGAATATAGTCATTTGTCAAAAATCAACATTGTTTATAATCGATTCAAGACACATCGAAAAAGAAAATGTAGACGAAATCAGACGAATGTGTATAAATGATTGTAATTTCGAAATTTTTCAACTAGTACGGATGAGTCAGAAATTATGAAAGTACTTGAGATATGAAACAACCAATCATTTCAACAATTCCAGATGAAAACCGACAGAATTTCTACATAATAAACCTGCAACATTTTAAAGGTTTGGTTATTATTGCAAGACAAATGAAGTCTTCGATCTCATATTATTCTGTGTTGTTTAATTTATCTGTTGTCATTGAGCGCTACAATCTATCACAATGGAAAATCTAATAATGTGCTCAAGTTCTTTCTACGCGATCTTTCGTTGCTTATCTTTTCTCGTTAATTTTATAGCTTTTTACTATGACAGATACTGCGAATCCTATTTATTATCAATCATATATTTATGGTGTGATTCGCCAAGTGTGTTTGTCGATATGGCATAATAAGTTTTTGCATGTGTTGATAATCATATAAAGAACCCTGCAGGATTTTATCGAGTTACTCATCTGAAAAAATCAGATACAGGGTTTTGTTGAGTTCGAAAAGTTACATCTAATGATATATAAATCAAATTGCTTTCCTATTCAATTTCAGGGACTTTTTCTACATGAAATGTCGAGGAGGTATTATCAAATATTCAAGCGTAAAAAAATTATTCTATCATATGAAAACAGTTCTTTGTTAGTCGTTATCAGAATATGATAACAATTATTGTCTTACTGAGTTTTGTAGATTTTGTTTTCGCTCTACAATTTGGCTTATTTCATTATTTCGTTCTAAAGAAAAAAAATTTTAATCGAAAAAATGTTAAAAATCAAGAATTTCAATTCTATTGATGTTTTTATAGTCTTTCGTTATGCTTGCAGACCTACTGATATCAATGTGATTTTCTTCTCAGAAATTATATCTAATCATGATCTACCATTAGCCATAAAAACCATATTAAAGATCAAATGACCCAAAGAGAAACATGTCTTAGTAAAATATCTTGCAGAGAACGAGTATAGATATCAGTTGTCTGCTCACCAATCTAGATTCTTTTTTTGACTCAGTGAAAACAAATAAAATATGTTAAGTACAAAATACCGAGGCAATTAAATGTTTCTTTCAACATAAAAAAAAGGTTGAATTCGAATGACATTTTTTTTCGTATATGCTTAGTAGATTATTTGAACAACAAACTTCTGTTTAAGAAAAACTTTTTTTTTAAATCTAAATACTCTTTCCTATGAATTTCTCCAATTATTTTACTGCCTCACCATACTATTGTATGATGATTATTGAATTTCGTTTCAACAGACACCTTCCTGATGATCTTGTTTCTCATTTCATTGTTGTTTTTTTTATAAAAGTTCTTCAAAATGCTCCTTTAAGATTATATTCTTCTATAGTAGAATTAAGTTTTTCATCACCATGATGATTATCTACAAAAGATGTTAATGAAGAAAATTCCATTTTAGAATAGCTTTTTACTTTGAAACTCTTGTTCAAAACCTTAATCTCCTAGACTAGTTGTTAGCAAAAGATTTTCACTATCAAAGTCTTGCGAAGGGTGTGAATGCGGGTGTGGGTGTAGTGGGTGACTTCAGTTCAATCACACCCACACCAACACCCTAAAATAGTTTTCACAGTTACTCATTCTAATCATCGGACTAGTGAGACTATCATTCTTATCAAGTCTAATTTTTGGATCAAATTTATATAAATATATTAATATTAAAATCTTATAATCGACATAGACAGGACAAAAAATTTCATCAACTCTGAATGTTTTATTGAATTTGGATGAGGTTGTAGGATCGATTAATGAAATTCCATAGATACATCTCATATTTAACATAGGGAATTCTTCCAAATTTTACATCCGCACTCATATTCTGTTCAGTTATTTTATCGTATTGTTTTGAACATCTATAATCAAAAGTGAAATATAATTGTGTTTCTCAAATTTTCAATATTTCTTTATTGATTTTAACAACATGAATATATTTATATTCATCGTGAACAATAGACAGAGAATTAATTGAATTATATTGATATTCTATATGCAGAGAAAAATGTCAATCTGAAATAATGTTGATATTTGTTACAAAAAAATAGTGTCGAAGATTTTCACATTGTTAATCATACTCCAGTATCGAAATTCTTTTTCAACTTATATTGATCATTGAATAACTAATCATTTAGGTTTTTTTTTCGATTAAATTTTATGATTGAATAAGTGTATCGAATACGATACCAACTGCACCAGAAGTAACCACCTATGAGGAATATGTTGAAATCGATGATTAACTTATATCTCTTGAGAAATTTTTATTAATGTAATTTTTATTAAATAAAAGATACAAATAATTTTGAAAAAAAAGAATATCGATTCTTTGATATTCAGAAAAAAAAACGTAATTTCGAACACGTTACAAAATCCTTATATACGTATCATAGAGATGATCTGTTGCTTTATCACTACCAAATTCTTCTTTCCAGATCTGATCTATTCTATCACATGAATTCCTCATATTATTATCTTTAACTATAGGCCATGGATCATGTAAAATAACATAACCAACAAGACGAAGACAATCAGCGACATAATTCAATGGTTCTTGCATATGTGCACGCCATATTATGTCAATCTAGAAATAGAACATAGATCAAATAAAATCATTAGTTTTTCTTTAAAAAAAAAGAAATATTTTACCGCATATGTTGAAGGAATACAGCCATTTCCATCTTTGAGTGGATATTTAGCTGCCATATACAAAAATTTTTCATACGACTTTTTTAATCCATTCATTGCTGTTGTTTCAAGATTGATTTTTGTCAGTCCATATGAATAATAATTTGAAGTAGAAAGTTTTTTTTGTGAATCTGCTATAAAATTCTTACATTCATCAAGCCAATTCATATCCGAATTGATGTCACCTTCTGTAAATGAAAAAGGATTTTCAAAATCTTTAGATGATTTTAATGAATACTCGAAATAAGTTTTATCCCAATAAGAGTAATATGTTTTTTTACGACCATATGAATTAGAACTATAATCAAAAATATTCGATGCAACATGATTCATTTTATCAGTTGATAATAATGGACAATATTTCTCGTCAAATGTTTGTTCATATAATTGACAAGTATCTTGAAATGCTTGTTCTTTAAAAAATTCTTCCATATCATTATTCAATAATTTATGATTAATAACTCGACGAAATAAACGAATACAATCAGCTTTATATATTTCAGGTCGAAGTAAATGAGTTTGCCAAACAATTTCAATATCTAAAGTAGGAATTAATAGAAGATTATCTGAATGAGATGCTTTTAATTGCATAAAACGATAATATCTCATTATCATTTGTTTTAAAACAGATGATTGTTGCCATTCTTTTCGAAATTTAGATGCTTTTTCTAGAAGTCTTATAAGTTCACAAGCTGTATCTTCAATATTAAATGATAGTTGAATCGTCCTACAAAGAAAATGAAAGATTATCATTCAATTATTAGAACATTTTCTTTCTGTTTTACCATATATACATGATTATTATTAACATGTCGATTAACTCAGCTCAACGAATTATAACATAAAAAGTCTTTTTAATGAGTTAAAAGATTGTTAGCGATTAAAATCCAAAATACACACTAAAATAAAATGTGTTGCATGTGTCGTGTTTTGCGACACATTTTCTATTGTTTCTTTTGGAAAGTCATATTTCGATGTTTTTTTTTCAAATTAATTACATTTAATTACTGCTATTCTGAAAACTCAAGTTGGTCGGATCCTGGAATCTGTCTAATTTTGAGTTGATTTGATTTGCGTCAAACCGCTTCAGTATAGTCCTCTCTGGATCACGGATCAAGATTGGCATTTTCTCGATAAAAATAGTTATTGAGAAATAATCTAAAAATAAGAATAATTTAAATTTTTTTTTCTATATTCAACTACGTTGTTTATATATCACTATGTGCGCATAATAAAATGATGAACGAATAGTTAGCAGACAGAACGCGACATTTTCGTATGCGACACATTTTTCTGCTGAAGCGTGCGACATAATAATTCACGACACATAAATGCAACACATTTAAATTTAGTGTATGTGATTCATCTACTGTTGCTAAACACACAAGGAACGATATATCATATTCAATTTTTCCGAGGCGCATAACAATAGAACTTCACTTTTTCACGTCTCACCGTTCACTCGGACAATAATAGACAAAAGCATATTTTATTTCATGTAACTCTTTCTATACTCGAGGAAACATTATTTTCTCAAAAAAATCTTTTCTCTGAACCCATAAAAACACAATTCCAAATTTTGAGAAACCAACTTCAGATTCGGATTCTCCGACTTCGTTTTACTTTCGTCAACCTTTATAAAATATAGTTATTTTCCCAAAAAACCTTTCCGTTGACCCTAAAAACCAAATTCAAAATTTTGAAAACTGACTTCAGATCTGGATTCCCCGACCTCAATTTACTTTCGTCAATCTTTATAGAAGAGAACTTTAAATGAATGTTCTTTTTTTACCCTGATGTTCTTTTGACCCTAACACAAACATACAAACTCTTTTTTCATATGGCACTCCCTACAGTCGAGGCAATGAAAATCATATGATTGAATCTATTTCGAAATACATTGTTTTATTATTTTCTATAAATATCATAAGCAGTTCATAAATCCTAATAAAACGTTAGTGATCTATTGTTGTATACTAACAACATCTGTTGCGAATTCTATAAACCTTCCATTTACGGTCATTTTTCATCATATTTTATAAAAATAATCAGTTGAACAAAGCTAAGTGTAACCATACTTCGTAGTCGTCCTATACTTCCTATATATTCGATAAAGGATACCTTAAACAGAAAGAATATATACGCTTCTGTACATATTGTCATAGCACCCATTGTAAGATGAATAGAAACTAGTGACCATATATGTATATTCAATCGTCCTCCCGTACATTCAATACGAGGACTAGCCCTTTTTTATTTGAATTCTTTTACTGAAGATGCCTAATTCAACAGACTTTGTAGTGAGACTTATGCAAAGTCGTACGATATTTACAAAGACAACAACAGTAAGCTGATTTAATAACTAATGATGGTAGTGCACGTTGATAGGTGACTATTAAAAAAGAAAGATTGTCGTGATATTAATCGACCTACAGGGTTGGAAATAATATTCTTCCAGGAAGATAACATTATAATTTCAAATAGAAGATATAATGGATTTTATATCAACTGAAAACTCGTCAAAAATGGGGTTTATTGATATTAAATAGTGAAGGTTAAGAACAATTCTTAATGTTAAGGTTTGAAAATTTCCAGAAATTTTATAATTTTTTTGTGGTGCAAAATTAAAGTACTAACACTTTAAAAATTGAATAAAATTTTTTTGTTGGACATTGGTACATGGTTCGAGAGAGCTCATTGAGCTCTACAAAACTATGTATGTTGAAAAATTTTTAAGGCGCCTTTTTTTCGATAGAAGATTCGGCAATTGATATGAAAAATCTTGAGAAATGTTAAATAAACTTCTAGTTTTGAAAAGAAAGAAAAGGAGCTGATTTTTCAATAAAATTAGCTTTAATCATTTTTACTAGCTGAGAAGTTTCAAACTATATTCATTTGGTGTAGTTTTTCACGATGAATTAAATGAGTCTATTTTGAAATCTGTGAGGTAGTAAAAATAATAAAAAAGCTAATTTTCTTGAAAAGTCTACTGCTTTTCTTTCATATCAAAAATATCAGTTTTTTTTAAACATTTTTAAAGATTTTTCATATAGGTTTTCGAATTTTTCCTCATAAAAAAGCGCCTTAAATTTTTTTGACAACTACAGTTTTGTAGAACTCAAAGAGCTCTCTTGAACCATATAAAAATATCCAGGAAAAAATTTTATCCCATTTTTAAAGTATGAGTACTTTAATTTTGCACTACAAACAATTATAAAATTTCTGGAAATTTCTAAAACTAGACATTAAGAATTTTTCATAGCCTTCACTATTTAATATCAATAAACCCTATTTATTGACAAGCTTTCATTTGATATAAAATCCATTATATCTTCTATTTGAGATTATAGCATTACCTCCCTGGAATAATAATATATCCAGTTCTGTACAATATTAATTTATGGTAGTAATAATAGAAACAAAATTATTGGTGAAGAGCTATTGAAAGTTACGAATGAATTATTTGATAATCAAAGAAAAGTAAAAGATGCTTTTGACAAGCAGCAACAAAAAAAGAAACAGAAGACTACAGTTGATTGAACTATGAATCTTAACTGGAAGAGACTTTCTTATCAGTCATTTACATAATTGTGTATACAGTTTTTCAATTTATTAAGTATCAAAATTATATTGTTTTCATAAAGATTTTACTCAGCGTTTGTCAATAAATGAAATATATATTTCTTCATTTTAAACTTTATCGAATCGAACTACTTAGAACTTTTACTGCAATGGATCTATATATTCCTTTTCGACTTTGGTTGACAACTTTCGAGTACCACTACTAATGGCCGTGAAGACATTGCAATATAAGGCAATCCTCTAAAAAACCTTCTTATTCACAAAAACTCGACCTATATATTTCCTATATTTTTATGAAAATCCTATATAAATGCTTCTTTTAAAATCCTCTATTTTTCTATATGCATTGAACAGATTGCTACGAAGCATGAGTGTAACATAATATTGAAGAATATACTTCACACATTAGACAGAAAAAAATTCACTTTCATGTTTTATATAAGAAATGTGAAATATATTAATACTATTTGGTAGTGCATCAATTAGATATTTCCAAAAAATAGCTATGTCGAAGAAGAAACTTTTTTCTTACACTTCAGACGACGAAATTGGATGCTGAGTAAATCCACCAATGGGTTCAAATTTATGTTTGCCTATGGGTCGCAGAGAAAGTCCAGGATATACACCTATGAAACATCCATTTCTGCGGATCTTAGTTCTGCTTTGTAAATCTCCATTATGTAAACATTTTTGATAAAACCAATCTATATAAATTTGTTTGAATGATTTTGAGTATAATTTTGTTGATGCTAATCAAAATTTTTCAATATTAAGATTCAATACAATAAATAATAATAATAAAAACAATACTTACTGTTGCACTTTTTTTTCCATATTTCATCTTGATCGGCAATCATTTTAAATGATCGACAAACTAATGAAACATTACATAGATCTCTTACCGATAAGAATTGAAATATTTGCAAGAGAATTTCATTAGGAATGAAAATAAATGGAGAATTACATAGAGCATCTCGTGTTTCATTAGGAGACCATATATGATGACAAGTAACATTCGGTGCCCTAGAGTGTGTATCCGTGGATTGAATAGAGACACAACCAAGTGTTGTTTTGATGCTTTTAAATAATTTATTCATATAGTACTCTAAAAGAAAATGATGATCTTCAATAATGAAATCAGTTTTTGAAAGTCAGAAAACATGGAGAATATTAAAGAAAAAAAAACGATGAAGAGCGATAAATTTTATTAAAATTATTTCAGGTAATGAAGCATAGAAGTATATAATTTTGAGATAGATTCTTACGCATATAAATACATCCTGAGAGTCGACTCAACTTTTTGAAAATTTTTACTGATTATCTTAATGAAACAATATTAAAAGAGGTAGAAAAAAAAAATGATATCTTACAGCAGTAAAGAAAAGCAAAACAAAATAAATGTTGCTTATCTCTCTAATTGGATCCGAGTCATCTCAATATTTTTCATTGAGAGCAATGATCTGATAAAAGAACAAGTAAAGAATTCTAGATGTAAATTATTTTTTGGTGAAATTTAAGGAAAGAGGCAAAGGTACAACATATAATTGACACTTCGAAGAGTTACATGTATATTAAAAGAATAGGCTTCACTGCATCTTCTTGTGATACGAACTGAACGTCAACTATTTTTCACAAAAAAAAATGAATTTCCTGGGGAAAATAATTGCTTAAATTTTTTGAAATATTGAGTTTTTAATCTGAAAAACCTTATTAAAATCTCTATGGCATTAAAGTATGAAACTCAATGTAGCTATTGTTGTTAACAATAATAAGATTGTTTTATGCTATTTATCGTTGGACACATATTTTTTTTGGCAGAATGTAAAACGAAATTGAATTGTATATTATAATGGAATGCTAATGACCTTCCACCTATTGAGAAAAGTTGAAAAAGGTTCATTAAACTTATTTCTATATATTTTTACGCTTGTCTTGTGAAAATATTTTACTTAACCAAAAAAATGATCTGTTGTATGAATACTTGGTTTGAAATATGGTTATGTACTTTTGAAAGAACGTATATTTTTCTTCCCATTTCTCATACGTACGTCATGTTTAATAAATCTTACTTCCTTCGTCAATCAATATGAATCATTACTCTACCAATCACAAGGTGAAATGTTGTTCCTTACGGTGATGTTTTACTTTTTTGTGAATATTCATAGTAGGGTATTTTGTGATTTTAATGTAAAATTTGTTTTCTGAAGTTGAGAA